GACTACCCCTACAGAGTACCCCCCTCCCTCCCCCATCAAGAAAAAAAGAAAAGAAAAGGCAAACAGCATAGATTCAACATTGATTCAATGTTGGCATTTCAAACATTAAATTCGACCACAATACAACGTTGATTCAAAGACATCTTTTCAACATTTAAGGTTGATCCACCATCAATCTTCAACCTTAACCAAAAATCTATATTTTTGACCATAATTCAACGTTGATTTAACATCTTTTGCTATCTGGGGGATTATCAGTAATTTTTTCAAAGTGACACAGACACATTGGATTAACCTATGGATTAACCTCCAGCCGCGTTTTTCTCGTTTTAATGCCATTGCCAATGACTTTTGATCAGAAAACAGCAACGGTAAGACGTTTCTCAGTTTTTGCTCCATAAAGCTCCATGTGCTGCATTTGCTTCCCATGTCGCGAGTTATGATCGCAGATGATACTTATATGTCTGGAATCTGTGGAATCTCAGTTTGCTAGTCGATATCTTGTGTGTGCAGTTTGGATAAGTAATAAAGTATTTATACCTAGAGTTCTGTGCTAAGTGCATTAGCATTTTTTTCGCTCAGGGCTCATTTAGACGCTTCTTGTGAGACTTGTGTTTTGTTTTGGTAAAAGTGGTTCATATTGTCAGTTAGCTGAGTTTCTTCCCGTTAAATGACACACATTCATCGTTTATTAATTGTTAAGAAGCCCTGAGACACAGTTTCGTGAAAAAAAGCTTGGGCTAAACAGGTTAAGTATGCTATAAAGTTAAGATGTATTATAAATTATATTGTCATCTGTGATGAAAGATTGTTAATTAGAAAGTCATAATGCATGCAATGTCAAACTGCTTGCTATAAACTTTATTTTTACTTTTATTAATATTAATCGTGTGTTCTTAAAGGACAAGTTCAGTTGGAAGTGGTATTATTTTATTTACGAAACAGGCTACAACAATTGGAAAATAGATGTGTTGCTTTCATTTAGTCATGAGCAAAACTGAGCTCCCCCAAGCATATTTAAGTTTTAACATTCCTATATGTTTACTGAGACTCAGAGATTTTGGTGTGTGCAGGAATATCAAACCCATTTCTATAGAAATAATGAACGATACATATTTATAATTTTATTTGACTCAATATACTGGCGGTGATGGTGTGATGACATGCGGCTAAATACAGATGCAGCAAACTCACTCAGGGTCCAGGGTCTTCATTCCCAAAGGCCCCAGCAGCTTCCTCTCAGCTATACCCAGAGCCTCCCAGGCCTTCTCCACAGTGAACAGCTCAGGAGCCTGTACACACACACACACACACACACACACACACACACACACACACACACACACACACACACACACACACACACACAGTCATTATTTCTCCTTAGCCCTTTCCCAATTCAAATGTTCCCCTCCTCGACTCCTCTCCTCGACTCCTGTCGTCGCGTCTTAGTCCCGCCCCCAGGAGATGCGAGCGGAGGAGTCGAGGAGGGGAACCGAGGAGAGAGGAGTGGAGACGTCCATTAATGACAGGAGGCACAGCAGTACTCTTTCTGATGGGC